ACGATACAAGAGAGAGAGAGAGAGAGATATGATTCGATCTCTGGGAAAGCAAACGGTCCCAAACACTACGAGCCGCCAAAGGCGAAGGTGTGATTCGATGAATCGGTGATGTCGGTGTATCCATAAAGACACGCGGCAATGCGAGGGTGCATGAGTATACCAAGTATAGTTTAAGATGGTTGCCATGGTGACTCTGTTGGCGTACTGCCAAGAGAAAGCTTTGATAATCTGAAAGGGGCCAGGATCGGCCTGGCCTTATTTCGAGCCATCCTCGAGACACTCCCAGGAGACCTTAACCGAATATTTTCACCACAAACGAACTTACCTGATTTTGCCCCCAAGCAATTGCTAACCCTTCGCGGCAACCCGTCGTCGTCGTCGTCATCGTTGTCATTCGTCTACAACGGGAATTTTAATGAAGCATCACGGCTAACTTTTATTTGACCGCGACCCAAATAATTGCATCGGTATAACGAGTTCAATTCCTTCATTCGTGAGATGCGCCGTCGAAAGAACGACATTACGTCGGGTTTCGCGAAATTGCATTTGTCTCGGAACGATCTTGTACTGATTGCGGACGCGCATCCGAAGAACACCAGGTTTTGGTAGAAACTCGCGCAAACGCGAGCGCTCGAACAATTGTAACAAATTTCGCACTATTGGGACAGACAAAAAAAATAAAATTAATAATCAACGTTAATTTTTTCTCGCCAACAATAAATTTCAGGGGCTTATTTCTCATGCATGGAATTATTGTGCACATGCATGTTACTAAATCTGAAATGCATCATCGCCACGCGTGTGCAACGTGCCGTATCTCTCATAGAAATTCACGATCGTTTCTATCAACGCGATATAATTCTTCGCTCATCGCCGATAAAGTGAAATGAACATCGACATGGTTGAGACGTGTATGCGGACAGAATCGCGGAATATTAAATTTGCAATTAAATTACTACCGCGGCGGTGCAAAAATTTTTCAGGTCGGTTTACGTGATTAAAAAAGAAAGAAGTGTTGCAACGAGCAGCAGCAACGTCGGAACTCGTTCTACGGACAAGTAATGACATTATACAGCTAAATACAGATAGCGAGCGCTGAGGAATTTACCAATAGAGAGTCTAAAGTTCGTTTTATGAAGCTATAATTAGCAAATAAACTTGTAACAGAATTCTATCTTTCATTCTGAGATAATATATTAAACAGAAAATATTGGATTCCGATGTACTTAGTTTTACAATATAAACTTTCTACAAATAATTATAAATAAGTATCTTCTTAAAAACAAAAGTCTTGTTTTTTATTTAGGTATATCATAAAAAGATTAGAAGAATAGTACATGAAATACACAAAAAATTATTTCAACTTTATTTGAAAAGAGTTCGAAATGTTTTGTGTCATTTAGGGGACATAATGGTCCTTTAAATGTGTACCATGGGAACACAGCGCTGGCAATTGTAACATTGTAACATCGTAACATTGTAACGAGTGATCATTGTCTCCAGTGATCTCGTCCCGGTGCACCGTTGAGCAAGAACAAACAGTGTGTTAGTTTATCGAAGTTTACGGTTTGGTTTCGAACGGATATCTGAATACACAAACCCGTCGCAGCCATCTGTATCCCAGAGTTATCACGTAGACGTGAAAGATTTGTTGCCACTAAGAATAGATTCTATGAATATCGAGTAGCAAGAGATGATCTATCTCGAAATAAAAATCTGCGTATTATTGTTATGCTTTTTTTGTAAAAAAACAACGCATTGAAATCGCGCCGTTCTCAATTATTTAACTACGAGCGATAGCCAAAGTTTAGTAACAAGTTACCGAATTTCAGATGAACAACTAAAGCAATTAATATGATTCACAATAGTACGACAGCTAAATACATTATATTAATTAAGATCTTATGTTTACATGTTATTTTTGAATGGATATTTAGTAAGAAAAATATTGTTTTGATTTATTACATGTTCTGGACGTTTTGTCATGGAATGATTTATCATTTTTAATATTTTAGAACGCGATGGATGCGCCACAACAATTAATGTATAGACGTAATTACTTTTATATATCCCCGATAATTATATTAAACAAATTAAAAAGAAATAAGTTTGCATCATTTGTTTAATGGCAGTTACTGCAAACTGTAGGATTTATAAAAAAACCAAAACACTCCCTTAATTCTATTTCTGATAAAGTCGATTCGAAAAGCGCTGTGATTGTTCGAATAAAATCACATTTAAAATATTTTCCATTATAAATATACACATATTTTCTCTATGTGTTTACTTACTGTTGTGTTTGTTGAAAAGTCCAACAATGCGATCAATAATATGTTGCGAGCGCATCAGTTGACGCAACTAAATATCAACTTAAATGCATATCATTTTATTTATTAATTTAGACATTAATACACAAGTAGATACTGTTTTGATTGTCATTTAAATTGGATGGATCATAGATCCAGTCATGACTGTCGTAGAATATTAAATACTATATTAAATACCTAAAATGCGAATTGTTGTAGAGGTAAAATATATAAGCTATTAGCTGAACGAATTTACACATTCAATTTAGTTTAATTTATAATTATTCTGGTACATCAATTCGAAAAGGATACGGGACCACAATTGCGAACGTTTTAGTAGCACCGCCCTTATTCGTCGAAAAGTTTAACGTTTTAAACTTTAGTTGCTTGCACATTCCCGTTTGCTAGTGATGTGGTGTGGTACACCATCAGTATTATCGTTACGCTCTGCAGAATTGATAGAGCTTCTTTTTATGCGAATGGGATTACCATGCCTGAATCGAATACTTTCGCTCGTTCACCAAATATTATTAATAAATAATGATTTCGTGTGCTATACTCATGTATTTACTACGATATATTTTTTTCAGGACCGAGGAGAAATTGAGAAATTCTCGAGAGACTTTAAGGACATATTATATTGTATATTAAATATAAAGGAAAATAGCAGAGATCGAGATGTAGCAGTGCATATAGAATGTTACATCGTACGTGAGAACGATTCGAAAGCACAAAACAAGACTCCGCTTACAAACTAGAGATGTTAACCCTCCGCTGTTCCATTTCAGAGATATACGGTTCAAAGGACTGGAAGTAAGAAATGCATGCCAATATATTTCCAAGACGAGACTATTCGTACATAGGAATATCATCTTTATGGTTTTATGAAATTCCTATTGTGTAAGTGTTGAGATCCCGACTTCGGATTTCGAGTTGATGGTTCTCGTAAAGTTTTATAGGAATCTCCGCAATAAGAAATCGAATCTGATCTGCATTTTTATGCAGCTGTTACATTTCCATTGTATATACGTATACGCGATCTTTAAAAGTATTTCTTATCAGTGTCGGACTCTTGCTTATATGTAAGAAGAAAGAAAAGGAGACTTGTAAATGCATTTAAAGAATTGTATTATTTTTTTTTATATTATTAATATATTTTATGATTTGAAATAATATTTTAAAAAATTAAAATTGTACATTTTTGTGTATGGAAAAATATCTATAAAAACGATTAAGATACATGTTGCGTTGGAATGTTCTTTACGTAGTATTATATTTACTTAATCTTTGCTTCTCTAATTATCCAAGAATTTTTCCTAATTATCCAACATCTGCGTCTCGCGTCTGTTTATTAATTTTCTGTGCCATCTGCTTTTTCTCAGCTTGATCTTATTAATTGTACCACATTTTCACTAAATATGCGACCTACTGTATTTTCAGCTACATGGAAACTTGCTATCTCCGAGTTTATTAATTCTCTTTGCTTAGTTTCTACTTACTATCGCGTTTATCTTTTATTCGTTTTGGTCGCTTACCGTCTTATTGCTTCTTCCGCAGTTTTTAAGCACAATACTTCTTATTAAAAAAGTTTCTAGAGATATTTTTTAAAAATAAAGTTATATATATGTGTGTATATGTATATATATTCATATACACTTTGAATAAACTGTCTTCTTAATAATTTTAAAATATATTTTTTATTTTGAGAAATTTTTACAAATTATGTAATATATATAAGTTTTTTGATTAAAAAATGTATTTTTTCGATTCTGCTTTCTAATATTGTATGCACATTATATATGTATGTATATTTTATACATTATTACTTCACTAATTATCCAATTTTATTTTTTATACATTATTGCTCCACTAATTATCAAATTTTGTTTTAAATATTTTTCATAAATATAAATCTTAATAAATAAATATTATCTATTAATTTAATTTGATTTATATTTACTTATTAAGTTATTTAATTTTATTTATTTATCTTTATTAAGACACTTAATCGATTTGTTTTATTCAACATTTTTCTATTCGCATTTTGCATGAAGATTTCTCTATCCCATTTCTTTTTACTCCCATTTCATTTCTTTACTCCACCCTTCGTTTAAATCATAATAACTATAACTTATTTACTAACTTATTTTTATATGCAGTTCCAATGTCATATAACTAACGAAAGTGATATGTAGCGTAAGAATCTTGATGACATGCACATTATGCGTCTCTAGATGCAAAGCCAAAACATCGAAAGACATCAATATCTTAGATATGAAAAAGGTGTTCCGATATAACGCGACATACATATTTCTGCTGTATGTAGCTGAAGTCTTATCGACAAAAATGCGGCAAAAATGATTTATTGTTACAGATACGGCTGTATATAACTTACAATATTCAGATAAAGAGTGATACCACTCTCCTTCACAGTAACGTATTTTTATATTTCAACCAGTGCTTGTAAATCTGTCGTTTTTTTAATTTATCTATATTCTATCAACAAAATAAATTAATAAATATTTATTTTTTATTTTTATTGAACATGCAATTCACGTGAAGTAATAAATTTCCAAAAAATTAGAATAGAAGAGTAAATGTTCTATATATCTTAAAGTTTATTGTAAATATATATTTTATATGTCTTAAAGTTAATTAAAAGTGTATTATGACATTTTAAATAAAAGTGCGACATGGATACCTTACACTCTACGTTCTCATCTACTATTGAAAAAGAAGATAAATCTTTTTTTAAACATATATTAAATCGTAATTAGTAAAATGCATTAAATATCTGCTATAAATTATGTACGTATGGCGAATTTGCGTATAATTTTCTGTTTACTAATTTCCCTCCCGAGAATGTTACGACAATTTCCCGTTTCGGCTAGATAAGCAAATACGACGAAATTCGGGATCTACCGGTGGAATGGCGCACTTCGGAGTTTAGCACGTGCGAAATGAAGAAATATACGGTCACAAATCAGGCTGTTACCTCAGAAGATGGCGTAGAGAACGAGGAAGAGGTAGGAGGGAAAGGTGCAACGCGTAAAGATTATCGTCAGGAACTCCGATAACGTCGCAGCCACCGACTGGTAGAGGAAATAGCGGAAGAAGTGCCGGCTCTCTCTCTCCCTCTCCTTCTGCGCCGGAAGCGCAGCTGTGAGTTTCAAACGATAATAATTTCCTGCCAAGCATCGCGAACACTATTCCAAGATTTCCTATAAATTCCTCGATTTCTGGCAAAGAAAACTATCGAGATATGCGAGGTTATTGAGCGGCTTTTTAATGCGTATAACGTTATAAAAGATATCATAATCTCCAATATTATAGCCTAGGGAGCATTTATTTACGTTAGATATAAAAATACAGCATCGTTACATAATCGATACATTATTAACAAACACGTTCATGTGTATGATATTTATTTTTTAGTTTTAATTAAAGGAATAAAATAAGGAACTACTTTAGTCGACTATATATAGAAAAATGGTAGCACGATTTGCATTTAGTAAAGTAATTTTTGATTAAAAAAATATAGCCATAATATATGTATATTGTAATAATTACCTGAATTTGACAGACAACTTCACCATACGGCCAGCATCCGTAAACAGCTGGTAAGAAACCGAATGGCGTCACTAAAAGACCAATCGCAAGGTCGTTACTTGCTAAGCTCGTCAACAGATATCTGGGCTGGAAGAAAGTTGAAGAGACCTGTTGATCGTCTGGTCAGTGTCAGTGGACGTCGTGATACTAAACGGTTGAATTGACGTATAATATCACGCGACATTAGTTCCATTAGAGAAAGCACGCAGTGAGAAAAAAATATCGATTGATTTAACAAAAACTCCATTTGATTCTTTGTGCATCATCTTCGCGTAAACATGAATTAATATTAACTGATTTTTTATTTAGGTTAATTTTTAATTAAACCAAATTAATTTATTTATTTAATTGATATGTAAAGGGCATCATTTTAAATGTGTGTAATAATAAGAAATTTAATTTTTTAGACAAAATATATTTTTAATAAATATATTTTTATTAATGCAGTGTTTATAATATAATTTTCTAATAAATGATAATCCTTAAGAGTCGCCAGTAATAAATAATGAAAATCTCTCCTCCAATTTTAAAGTCGACCAGACTGGCAATAATTTATTTAAAAAATTAGTTAAATTACAACGTTTCGGCTGTCATTGCAGCCCTTTTCAAGTAATCTATGAACAATTATATACATATAAATATACTCTTAATGCGCTTAATCATACAAATAATTATAAATTTACAAAAATATATATGTTTACATACCAGATTAATACAATAAATCAAATTTACAGCAAACCCCCGACAAAATTAACCACTGTTTTGATGAACAATGTATAACTGACAGAAGTGAGCACGAAAAAAAAAAAAATAGATGTTGACTGTTAGCAGGAAACTTAGTCACTAACGCGTTGAGAAAATAGAAAACCAGAGTACTGTGTCTTTCGCAATTTTTAAAACGTCAATACAAAGTCAAATGAATAAATAAATAAATAAATAAATATGTAACATATGACAATATAATATATTAAATAGCTTCAAGAACGCGATCATAAATCCCACTGAAATTCTCCGTATCTTTTTGTAAATTAATGCTCTTTCTTTGGTTTTTTATATAGAACATTTCTGCTATTTCTCTTTTTCTTGTTTGTTTTTCTTGATGCAGAATCACAGGAGAATCCCAACGGAACTCATGATCGTTGCAAGTCCGATGCAAACTAACAACTGAGTGTGATGTCGTGTCTTTTTTTATGTTATTTTTATGTTCCTTAATACGTGTTTCTAAATGTCGCTTTGTTTGTCCAATATATGTAGAGTCACAATTCGCGCATTCGATCTTATAAACGACATCGGTTCTTTTTAAGTTGTCAATACTATCTTTTCCTCTTTTTATCAATGTGTCTAATTTTTGGGAACGGTATATAATACACCGATTCCATTTTTGTTTATGCAACGAGTAATATTTTCGCTCAAATCTCTAATATACGGCAACACTATAGCATTTCGTGTATCAAATTTATCTCAATTAGACGCACCAAAATTACCGCCAAATTTAATCGCCCTAAGTCTCCTGTTAATAATTTTGTTTATGACTGTTGACGGGTAACAATTGTTACGAAGAATTCGTTTGACTAAGATGATGTTTTTCTCGTGAAACATAGGGTCCGCGAGTAAAATAGCCCTGTCCACGAGGCTTGTGATCACACTAATTTTATAACGCATCGGATGGTTCGAAAGAAAATTTATATAACGGCCTGGGATTCTCCTGTGATTCTGCATCAAGAAAAACAAACAAGAAAAAGAGAAATAGCAGAAATGTTCTATATAAAAAACCAAAGAAAGAGCATTAATTTACAAAAAGATACGGAGAATTTCAGTGGGATTTATGATCGCGTTCTTGAAGCTATTTAATATATTATATTGTCATATGTTACATATTTATTTATTTATTTATTTATTCATTTGACTTTGTATTGACGTTTTAAAAATTGCGAAAGACACAGTACTCTGGTTTTCTATTTTCTCAACGCGTTAGTGACTAAGTTTCCTGCTAACAGTCAACATCTATTTTTTTTTTTTTCGTGCTCACTTCTGTCAGTTATACATTGTTCATCAAAACAATGGTTAATTTTGTCGGGGGTTTGCTGTAAATTGATTTATTGTATTAATCTGGTATGTAAACATATATATTTTGTAAATTTATAATTATTTGTATGATTAAGCGCATTAAGAGTATATTTATATGTATATAATTGTTCATAGATTACTTGAAAAGGGCTGCAATGACAGCCGAAACGTTGTAATTTAACTAATTTTTTAAATAAATTATTGCCAGTCTGGTCGACTTTAAAATTGGAGGAGAGATTTTCATATAATTTTCTATTCTAATAAATGTTTGAATATTACGAAAATTACTTTTATGTATGTATTAAGCTATGCGTGATTTTTACTTATACATAAATTGTAAATCTGGAACGACCACCAAGCTAATGTTAGAAACAAAAAATTTTTTAAATTATCAACGACTGTATTTACAACATAAAACTCTCATTAATAAACTCGACAAATTACTTGAATAAACATTTTTCAAAAACCTTTTGGTGCGACGGAATAAATATATATATATTACGAATACACAATACAGCAAAAAGAGTAACTGATCTGAATGTTTAATTTAGGAAAATTTACATATTTATGAAAGAGAGAAAAGCAATGAATGCTATGAAACAACATATTACACACTGAGCTCTAATAAATGTATTCTCAATTTCACATATTACAGCACCGTGTGAATCACCGGAAAACTTTAATCGAGTTGACAATAGATGGTACATTCGCACAAATAATGTTTAATTTTTTTGCGGTCATCGGCATTAGTCTCTACAACTCGACGGTACTCATTTAGAATCCAGAAACATGACCGTTCCCTATTTCACGTAGCTAACCACTTCAGACTAATTTACATAGCAAGAAGAGAGAAATGGAGAAAATACCGTGGACCTTCCATCACAGACTAAATTATCGCGTTGAAATCTTCATACATTCGCATAACTAATATTTCGCTCACCGTAATCCCTTCTACAAAATATAAAATAAATATAATCTTTATATAATTAATCTCTTATCATTTATTAATATTTTCTTTTCCAGTAAAATATCGATTTTACTGACAATGAATACTCTGTTTTGATTTTATCGATTTTTTAACATAATATTTTTAGAAAAATCCATGCTGCTTTTCTAATATATCTTTTACCGAGATTTTGAAAGTTTAAGATACTTTTTGGTATAATATTTTCAGAGTTATTATTTTATAGTAAGATAAAAGAGAAAAGTTAATTTCTTTTAATTTACATTCACTCACACAACAAGATATAAATCTTGTCAAGATTGTTGGGATTAGTATATTTATTATTAAAAAATTATTTCTAAAAAATACGTGCAAAATATAATTCAATTTACTTACCTGAGCATGTATGTACTTGCTATATCGTCTGCTATTGATAACGCATATCACCAGAAGATTGGCGCACAGAATACCAAGACTTAGCATCAATATCAGGGTAGCTCGTATTAGTTCTCCAGGACCTGGACCTGTCCAAGCGGCTTCGGACGTGCCGCCTCGCCAACAGCTGCTGTTGCTTAGTGAAGGTGCCAGCAAGATTGTCTGTTTGTGTTCCATTGTCATCGGTTAACCGCTTATTTCCCCACGTGACTACGGTGCTGAATCTCCAAACGAGACGCCCGTGTCCCGCTCGAGGCACGCGTACTTTGAACGTTTCTGAATGACCTTTCAAACAAAAGATCTTATGATATTTATTTTATTACTTTTGAGTAATTTCACATTAGAGAAACATTTAATCTTTGTTTAATTATTGTAGATATGTATAAATTTGTAATGCAATATTATATTGATTTTATTATTTTAATAGATTGTGCATGTGAAAGATATTACAATAACAAGCTGACAAATAATTTCTACTTTGAAATCGTGAAAAAATATCGTCTGTTTCTTTACTTAAAATAATCGAGAGAAAAGAATTCAAACTTATTTTTAAGACGAATATTTTTTCTTTCAATAAAATTCAACGACAGAAGAAATTGAAGGAAAGGAAAAAAGGACGGGCGACGTCTCCGAAGATCAAATATTGCAACAAACCTTTCATCCCTGTCGATCGCGAGTTTTCGAGGATCTGTCTCGCTGATGGGCCACCAGTTTTTTTAAGCACTGCTTCTTCATCGTCGAGAGCGTCGAAGATCTGCACGATTGCGAGTGTTTGAGCGCGTCTGATGACGCACTCGAAAGATGAATCGTGACTCACGAGTCGTCCAGGCGCGTCTGAAAAACGATGCGTGATTTCGATCTCTGATGATGTACCTTTAAACGCGCGATGCATCGCAGTGCTTTGCATCCACCGCGTCTATATATACGGGCGTGCGGATGAGTCGACGAGTTCTGAAAGAAGAGGAAAGATACGGTCTCGGATAAAAATACTATAAAATTCAATTTGCCGCTGGCTGAATTTACGTTCCCTCTACGCCCAAGTTACAAAGTCAAACCGGAGAAAAGTTCTACTTGACAGTTTGCAAGCTGTCGCGGTTGTTTTGCTGTCTATGTACCAAGTAAAATTTATGATAAAAGATAAGACGAAACTTTATTTTAGGCACACTCTAATTGGTAAATTTCTCGGTAAGTAAATCTTAGTTGTTGAAGAAGTTTTCGGGAGTGGCGCATATGCAGAGAAAACAATACCTTCGCACCTTAACTCACTAGGAGAACTAGGAGAACTCGGATAAACACTAATGATAGACTACGTATAGAGGGAGGTTTGTAAATTGCCGATATATCATGTAAGATGTATGAGCGAAGAGGAGGGAATTCGATTTCATTCTCTATGTCTACATTAAACAGTAATTAATCTCTAAATTCAACAATTACTTTTCGTGTGTCCATCAGTGATCCAATACCGTAGAGAGCTCTCTACGAAATCACAGACTACGTTTCAAACTCGTGTGCTTCCGAGTTTGCAACGTTTTATTTACTCTTACCCGCAATCTCCAACAATCAAGCGTACGGACGCATCCTGCCACGTTTCCGGAAATTTTATTTGTACCGCGTAAACGAACGAAGTCGTTCGTCCGCGAATCCGACGTTGATCGATCGCGACCGTCAATTCCGTTCCCGCCAATGGTGAATCGATGATGCGTTACACATCACGCCGAAACCGAATAGATCTCCGCGAATTTGGACGACTCTTCCGTAAATAGGCTTTTCGTGAGGCTTTCTCCGAATAATTAATTATAAAGCTCTTACGCCAGCTGGACGTAGAAAGCTCTTTTTCCGTTGATATCACAAATGATTCGCGTATGATTAAAATTCAAGAGGATCTGTTTGCAACACGTACGCATTGAAATCCGGCTTTGTTGTTTACCATTTTTGTTGAGATTAAACACGCGTATCAGTTAACATGTGTCTGATTTTCAGATGATAATTAATGTATTGGCCCCTTGCGAATGCGCGAATAAATATTCAAAATTAATGTGGTATTAAGCGGTTCAGCGAGATGGCCTACAGACCTAAATTGTTAAACGGATTTGATTTTATTTACTTAACAGTCTTGTTATTTGATAAATCAATCATTTAATGTAGGTATCATTATTTACTGTTGCGCTAATTGTTCAAGAGCTTGTTTGCAACATTTCAATCAAGAATATATTAATAATTACATATAATTTATTTAATCACAGGTTATGATATTGTACGAGTTAATAGATCAGTAGTAACAGTTTTTGAAAGCACGATATACAATTAATTATATAAAAATTGCGATATTCTGTAATCTTATATACGTATAATCACATTTCCAGTATATGCAATTATATTTGCTAAGCGCATATTTTCGCGTGACTTATCTCCAAAATAATAACTTTGAAACAAAGTCATACAGTTATACAATATCGTATATATGAATGTAATTTCTATTAAAACTAAAACGCTTTTATGTTGAGAATTTGAATTCGAGAAAGCTACAATAAAAAAATTTAAACAGTCGGAAATTACGAATAAAATAACATTAAAATAATTTAGTTTCCTAGAAAGCAAAATATAATTCTAATATTATTAAAAATATTATCAGTTTCATTCCTTCTCTTTAACAATAAATCAACAATTTAAAATATATGTATCATCATAATATATATAAACGGTTTATTTGTTGTATATATCAATACTTTACAGAAACAAACTTTAAATAGATAATATTTATAAAATACATACATTTTAAAAATATGTAATACAAATATTGCAAGGATGCGAATATTTATCGTTATATATTTGCACAGCACATTTATTCTTCAAGCGAAAAATATATGGCCATGCATAAGCGTTTTGCTGATAAAGACACTTTTCAAAATGAAAAGTCCAACAACTGCAGTCAAAATCGCCAGCAGCCCGAATGCGACAAAATTTTATTGTTCTCTGCATCCTGAATTGGAAGCAACGCAAATTTTGGCGCTTATTATCTATGTATTTACGAGTACACGTCTTTACAAATTTCTTTATAAATTACATAGATTTACGACCAATAAATTATAGAAGAGATAAATATTATTTGACCATAAGATTGAATTGATAATGCAGCGAATGGTGCACTCGATGCAATCGATACCAAGAGTCGAGAAAAACAAGTAGATATGTAATTAACAAATGCGTCTTTAGCGATATTAGATTTTAATATAATTAAAAAAATGAACGCCTCTCAGACCCGACATAGAAATTCGTTTCTTTCATTTGCGCCTTCGTGAGGATTCTCCTCATTCTTTTCAGTAATAATTCGACAGACACCGTTAGAGCTCGCTCTATTCACGAACGTACCTATATTCATACCTATTATTTGCACACTGCCGCTTTAGGCTCTGCTCCCGTTATTCGATTTGCATTTATTGAGGCAAAAATGCGGCTGGCGTATGTGCCTTTATAACACACACTGCCAACAATCTCTTCTGTATAATAGCTTGTTTGATAAAAGGATGTACTGTATATATCTACAAAAATATTAAACTTCAAAACACCATATATATTTGTTTTTTTATTTTAGGAAAATAAAATAAATAAAACAATATTCGATGGTACCGTTTATCTCTCTTTGTGATATATTTTTATCATTACAAAAATACAACTATTTTTCTTTTTCTTTGCAGATGCTGATTATCAAAACTGATCCAGTTTACTCCCTTTTGTATCTGCCAACTTATTGTTGATATGTATATTTTTTTGTATTTACACAATAAGTAACTATTTATTTAAAACAATAGCAACTGATTCGAATTTATCGAGAAAAGTGTTCTCGCAGTAGTATGGTATAGTTGTTGCACTCAAGCCTTCGATTTCATTTACTTGATGCGCAATCGATAAATAAGGTTGACTTGCCAGCTAGTCTCGTTTTCACGCCTGAATAGAAAGGCGAATGGAATGGAAACAGTCTCGCATCCCATATACGCACGTATTCACGTATATATGGACCAACATAACATACGAGTTTGCATTTTCCGCAAGTAGATTTCGCGCGATCGATACGTCATATACTTTACGCGCACGTGCTCGCTATCGGCGAATAAAGGTGAGCAGCTTCGTTTCCTGCAATTACACGAGTAAACATCGCATCGTTGCTTCATTAAAATAACACAGAACGAGGGCAGAATTTCCCTCTACGCGGTTGACGATTAAACGGATATTCGCAAAATAGATGGTTCAGATACCAAGGGATATAAAACATTACTTTTTGTCATTTCTTAATTTCCCCAGTGTCACTATAGTTTAAATGTTCATATACACGCATATGATATGTATTTCTCGTTGCGAAACGATAACTCATGTCGATAATTGCAAACGATCTGGCTAAATTGACAGAGTTGCGCGCAATGATGCGGCAAATTTTAATGAATCGAGTTGGATCATCCGCAATATTGCTCACGATAATCGCAAATTTCAGAAACGAACGGAATAAGCAAGGATAATGCTTAAATTGCAGAATATCTTTCGCAAACGTAAATATGTATAAATCATTAAATCAATTAATTATAGCTAGTTACATGAGAATGTCTGATACACTTTATTTGACTTTATTCATTACAGTTCATTACTCTTTAATCCGCTTCTAACTCGATTTTTTTTAGTATTATTACGCAATATTGTAAATCACAAACTCAATAAATGTGATGAGCGCGATTATTATTTATTGTTCTTTATGCAATAAATTTTCTACAAAAGCATAAGATGAAACTGTTGCGAAATGAACTCAAAAGTTTCATTTCTAGTGCGTGTAATACATTTCTTTTCTAGGATATATTTAAGCTTTGAAAAGTTCTGCTTTCTTTTCGTGTGGGATTATACAGTATATAATTTGTGAAAACAATGTTGGTCTTCGTGAAGTCCACGGAATATTTAAGCATCGTGACAAAGTAGAATATATTCTAACTTTCTAACAATGTCAGCTTTTCCGTTTTACGTATTAATAGAATAATCCTCCCCTGTTATATATATATTTGTTATATCTACTTCACAAACTTACAAACTTTTCAATATCATCCGCAGCAGATTTGCAACAAGAATAAACAAAATGCACTGTTTAATTTTATATTCCACTAATTGCTTTTAGTTTCTATCTATTCTATTATTTAAATTCTTATTCTATTTTTACATTTTTATTTTAATTAATTTTCAAGTTTGAATTAAATAATATGCCAATTAAAATTCTAATTGATATTAGTAGAAAAATTAATTTAGTTGAGATTCTTGTTTTTTTATATATAATACTACCGAGAAACGTAGTTATTTCAAAATCAATCGTGTATTGTACAATTCCGACAGGAGCGATAGCTCTACACCTACGTAGCGATAACACAATATAGACGTAGCTTGTACAGCTGACGCAATGAGAGAAGAAATCTCAGAAGGAATGTAACTTGCCGTTTTCCTTGGAGAGAGTCCGCATTTCAAGTTCGTTACAGTTGAGCGACACGGAACAGATAACAGCGGCGTACACTGATAACTCGCGTAAGTTCGTACCGATTCGTATCGCGAGAGCAGCAGTAGTAGAGCAGTAAGACAGGGCGGACATTCCACTCTAAGAACTTTGTCGACTCGCAAGCCGACACCGCTCGTTCTTGCAATGACTTGGCCGATACAAGTAATAAGGCAGAATATACCGAGAGCACGACGACGAGGTAGGATACAGAGTGCTTCGCGGCTGCGAGGCTGGGGGAATTAATTCGGGAATGACTTTATTATGTCAGGAATTACCACTCTTTCGTGCCCTTTACGTAACGACACTCGTTGCGTATCGACAATTTAGTCTCAGCCGCGCCGAATGCATTTAGATGGCGAAATTAAGATTTTTTTCTTCAAGAACTTTTTATTTCCTTTTTACTGATCCATGAAATGTCGCATTCCGACAT